ACTTCAGTGTTTATTGGGTATTCAGCTTGATGTCGACTGTACTTTGCGCTAACGTATTGTGTGAAATCACTAACAATATGGAGTAGTGAAATGCAGTCTTGTAGCGGTACAAACATCCTTGCGTACAACAGCTGTTTGCTTGATGAAGGGCGTTACATTAATGAAATGGTAATGCGCCGCTTTCAGCTATCCGCACCGCGGACTTGAGTACCTGTTGCTTGTCTAGCCAATGTATTTACTGCTAGAAAACATTGTATGGGGCGGGCGTTATTCGATGTGCAAGTTGCCGTTGGTTATCAGCCCTTCATTAGTTTTAGGAGTGGTGGCCACTATATTGAGGCAGGCCATGCGTTACGCTCGGGGCCCCGACCAGTATGCTTTGAGGGACGGCTGACGAGCTATCCTTCCCGGAGATCCATGTCCGCTAACCACCAGTCCGTGTCGGTCTTTCAGTCCGAGTCCGTCTCCAATGTCGATCAAATGACCGGTCCGTCCGTATACACCGGTCCATAAGGGACTAATCCGTGCCAGCCGAATGACCTTACATGAAAACTCCGTGCTGTAGCATCACTAATCCCGGAACATTGCCAGTGCGTGTCTTTCAATGACCGGTCCCTGTGCGTATCCATCCACTGATCACTCCGTGTGTACGCGACTGCGACTGTGACTGCGACTGCGACTGCGACTGACCGATCGTCTCCGCTCCACAGGATGTCCGGGGCACGCATCACCGGCCACCTGGCGCACTCGCTCAAGCCGGGCCAGCTCGGTGTGGCCTCCATTTGTAATGGTGGTGGCGGCGGCTCGGCCATCGCTCTGCAGGGCCTGTAGACGACAGTACGCGACGCCAGCTTCCCGTCAGTGAGTGGCCGAACGGAGGGTCCGCCCGCGGCGGGACGGGGTCCGCCGCAGCGGGAGGGTATCAAAACGCCCGGCGCTCCCACGAGGCGAGGGGGCGCTTTGTCGCACGCGGTGATCCCGGATAGGATGCATCATACTGTACAGTTTTTGTAATGCCCTCGGACGTCATTTGTAACGAATTACTGAGCGTTGTGAGTGACAAAGGAATCGTAAGTTTCGACAGGCGCGGATACAAGGGGGGGGGCCATGGGGGCCATGGCCCCCCCCCCCTTGGCCGATTTTTTTTTCAAAAAATAAATAAAAAGTTAAAAAGTTAAAAAGCTGAAAAGGGGGCCTCCTGAAAATAAAGTGGCCGAAATCCGATGAGTTTTTTTTTAACCTACCCACTTAGTTATTTCTTAGAAGACTAGCTGAGAAGACTTCTTTGTTAGAAGATTGGTAAAGCTTTTCATAACTTGGAGGTCTCTTATACTCACAGAGATGACCACTTTTACAGGGCCTCCTAACCTGCACAGAGGGCCTCCAAGCCTGCACAGATGTTGAGATGTTGCCTGAACAGCTAGATAAGCTCAATAGACGCAGTTTTTTTTTTTGGGGGGGGGGCCCAACAAGTGGGAAGATGGGGCCTCCAACAGGTGGGATTATGGGGGGGGGGGGCCTCCTGGTTTCTAATGGCCCCTCCCTTGGAGATTTTCTGGATCCGCCCCTGAGTTTCGATGCATATTTTTGAGCCCTGGAGTCCCGACTGGCCAACTACTAGCCCCGTGTCATAGCTTAGAATAAGGAAGGGTGCCTATTCGCGGTAGAGCAGCATCTAATAGTAAGCGGTTTACTCTGAATTGAGATGCATTGTTAAGAGGCCAGTCGGGCAAGTATGTGAGCATTGTGCAGCCTTTCTACTTCTTCATTGCAATTTTGATTGGTTATTTGAAACACTCTTAGTCATCTTCCCAAAATTACCTATTTAAGAAACGATATCGACATTGTATTTGACTCTCTTATAATTACTAGCCCCTTTTTGTGGTCAGTTGCTTGTCCTAGGCAAGCGAATACCTACCGTAGCCCTGCTCTTATTTAACCGGTTTTGGTTTTCTATCGCCTTTACTCTTTAGGTTATTCATGCCCTAGGCACTTGTTGGTACGATATAGAAGTGTAGTTGTAATGCAGGTTGTGTTTGCTCTATGGTCCCGCGGCCAAAGTTAGTCGGTTGATATGACTGCGTTCAATCGGTGTCTGGTGCAATATCGGTTTGCGTGGCAGCGTTGTCCCGGCGATGGGTACCACGGATCGCCCGTCTGTGTCGTTCGTGCGGCCTGTGCAAACTTCACTGGGATGGATAGGGAATCAATACAAACGGCTGTGTATTGATTCTTTTGAACCGGATTCTTTTGAATCGCTGTCTGGGAAAAGGAGCATCAAGGCGAGCGGATGTCCTAATCTCCGCCTGGGCTAATGCAATTCTAGGAGCATCTCGAACCAGATCGGTCAATTGTTCAATAGTTCATTCCACTGAACAATACCGACGAACACATTTTGGAAAAAGGCAGCAATCACCGTGAAAATATGCCTATCACGTGCATAAAAACAAGTTTCCTCATTATACTGGCCCGTGAAAAACACCACTTCTCCGTCGCACAGAGTCGCCAAAACACGCCGGCTCCCCTATTACCCGCCGTGTGGAGCTGCTCGTTGGGCCGGCGGCCGCTCATTTGATAGACAAACACGGCGAATTGTGACGCTGTGCGCTCGACGCTGATTGGTGGCTGCCGCGGTCCGCGAGCAGGTTCAACAAACAGACGACGGGCGGCCGCGGCGACTGCTTAGGTGGCCACGGAGACGGATAATCAGAGGGCAACGAACCACGGTGCAGTTCATACAACACATCACGGTCTGATTCAGCGTAGCGGAACAAGGGCTAGTGCAGTTCAACTCGGTAGACCAGGGTTGGGTTCGATATAATCGACACAGCGGTCAACGAGCACACAGCGGACTACGGGACAGTGTAACACTGCGGGCCCAGGTGCTGAAACCCCGTAAACCATGAGTTAGTGTAACACAGCTGATCTGGGACTAGGATAGTACAGTGGACCGCAGGCTAGTGTAACACAACAGACCACTGGATGATGTAGCACAACGCACACTGGGCTGGGTCATAGTGGTGCCACACCCACCGGTTACCCGCCTCTCGGATCACCCTTGGGCTGGGTGATTCCATCCGATGTGGCGTGGAATGGCTAGTGTTTAATGGAGTGAGTAATAGGCCCGACAAGTGCGCAACTCATTAAGGCCTGCAGATGTTTAGAAATGACAAAAATACCAATGCAAAACATGCTCAAATATATTTTGAATAAATTATTGTCGTGTAGCAATGTAGGTTGTAAACGGTGAACGAAACTTTCAACCTGAAAAGCCGTTCTAATGGGAGGGCCTTGCATTTACATCACAAACAGCTGGAATAGCGGCTGCTGTTCTTAACGTCACGAATTCAATTTGGAACTTGAACAAGAACTGTGCACAACAATGATGATGCTAGTTACCGTACTGTTATCAACTCAGATTGACAAAAGAAAAATGCATAACATGTTGCTATGTACGGTAGGTAGCTAGAAACTCGTACCTCACTTCAACACAAGCCGAAACTGCCATGCTTTCAGCTACAATAGATCAAAAATTTCATCGCCAGAGGTCAAGTCACGTTGACAGACCCGTCCGACTCGTCGCTGGCGGTCGTCCTACCCCTCACTGGTGGTCCTTCCAGACGTTCTGTCTCCGCCCCACCTCTGCCGTCCGACGCCCCACCTTCGTTTCCTCCCGGCCTCAGGCCGTCAGAGGCTCCTTGTCGGTGTCGTTGTGGAACATCCGCCTGAGCTCCGCGGCGCTGATCCTGCCGTCACAGAGGCCGCAGCACCAGCAGCTGCGGTGGGTGCAGGCCAGACAGCACAGCAGCCCCCAGCATGGCTGGCGAGCGACACACAGTGACAGTCAGCTGCATACAGTGCGCCGATAACAACAGCTTCAGCGTTTGCCATCGCTAGCACATCAGTGTCAGCCAGCCACATGAAAGTAATTGAAATCACATGAAGCAGCAGGAGCTATGTATTTTGGCAGCCGACAGGATAGGTCATCCATTTACATCCACACCTGACACCACTAACCTCGAACACAAAATAACTAGGTGAAATATGAGCTTTGAACTCAGTACCCATCTGTGCCGTGATATTCTTTTTATCCTTTTACCCCGCCGTAGTAATCGCTATTGGCCGGGGAAACGGCTCTAGAGCTACAAGAATTGAGCAATGAGCAGTACCTATTGATCGCAGTGCTGGCAGTGCTGTGTGGAGTGGCTGCTCTGAGCAAACGAGCAGTGAGCAGCTGAGATAGACATGCTGTGGCCGTGGCCAGTTCCACTCAGCCTGGGTTGGTGACGTGTAGGATTCCTTGCACACATACCAGTGCTGTGAGTGCTGCTGATGTCACCCGTCTGGAGTTCAGGTAACTAACTATTATTCAGAGCAGAGTCCCGCGAGGTGGCGCGGTGTGGCAGTGCAGAGGTGCCCGCGGACTGTCACCCCCACCCGTGTACTGACTGGCGGCAGCCGGCACGGCCACGGCGAGCATGGCGCCCAGCTCGACCGAGTGCACGCCCTCGCCAGAGTACGGCGGCAGCGGCTCCCAGTCGGGTTTGCGGCGCGGCGGTGGCGGGGCGGCGCCGGGTAGTGCAGCATGCCGTTCACCGAGACCGCGTCCCCGAGCACCTGAGAACGGCGGTACCGTCAGCGGTCATCTCTGGGAGGTCAGCCAGCAGCCCCGCGGCACAGTCTGCATCAGAGCGTCAGCACCAGCATCAGCTTTATACCGTCAACACTAAGCGGCAGCTCCCCACCGCGTGATAAGTGGACAAAAGCATGGCGGCTCGGGCGGCTGGATGGCTATGAAGTGTGAACTATAGACCCAGAATGCCCATGTTGTTGGACCTGAGTTATAATAACCTGCTGGAGACTGACTGAAGTAAAACTGACTGCGGCGGTTGTTACACATTCCGCGTCGTTAACACAGGCAACCCGCTGCCGGCGGGACTGGACTGACCTGAAGTCGCTGGCCGTCCACTGTGACGCTGTCCGTATCGTCCAGCTCGTAGGTCTCGCCGCGCACGCTGATGGTCGAGTCGTTGTGGGGCTGAATGTTGAGCTGCTCCAGACTGGGCGGCTGGCCGTACAGGGCTCGTCTGATCTCGGCGGCCACGCCGATGTAGGAGGGGTATTGAGGCAGGTTGACTCCGACGGGTGCCAGCACTGCCATCACAGGGGGCGGGGTGGGGGGTGGGGGGTCCGCTGAGGGGTGCAGTTGTGCAGTGCACTGATTACTGACTAGCGCCGCTGTCACAAATAGGATTGTACGGGTGCATACCGACTGGCGGGTAGCACCGCTGCCTGCCACGACACTGAGGGACAAGGCTACAGCTGAGGTGGTTTTCGGAGGGAACTGACATCGGTAGCACTTCGAGAGAGAGATTAGTCGAGGAAATCGGTTAAGAGGATCGAGTTGTGACAGAGGGGCTGATGGGGAGGCCCCGGCTTGGTAGGCATCTAAGGCTGACGGGGGCCATTTTCCTGGCTTTGTGGCAAATGGACGATGAATGCTTGAGTCTTGTAGTTGGTTTTGAACTTGATATTTGTAAAATATTGCCTGTCCTCCAGCTCCAACTCCAAAACAGGAGACCTAACCATTATACTCGTAAGTTAACCCGCGCCCCGCTGGGCTATTCAGCCATACGCGCCCTGCTGGGGGGGGGGGGGGCAGATTCTGCCCCCTGTCTAACTTCCGAACCGATGGTCGTAGAAAGACGGGGAAAACGGCAATCGAAAGCTCTCAACAAGGCGGATCTTAAGAGCCCAAATTTTTTTTGCTTAAGTAGGTCAGAGGTCAGGTCAAGGTCAGGTCAAGGGTACAAAATGCAAGTTTCTACAGTATCGGCCTTGCACCGTAGTTGCCGAAGAATGGACTGAGCCTGATTGCCCAAAACGTGTCCTTAGACTACCAAGACAATATTCGTTGCATACAATGTCATTCAAAGGTCAAGGTCACGGTCAGGTCAGTCAGGTCACAAAAAAAAATATAGAAAAGGGCATGTGCGACACATGTTTTATGGGTCATTTTACTCATAGAATTCAATAGGCACACTCAATAAGTGATATGGACCACCTCTGGATGAATTTCAGGTCGAGGTCAGGTCAAATTCAGGTCAAGTGAGGTCAAATTTTGAAGTTGGTTGTTACGGCCTAAAAAGGTGTCTATCAGATGCAGTTTTTCACGGCGAATCGAATGGTGCTATTTTGTTTCCGTACAAGGTCTAGAACTTCCAAAAAAAATCATTTTTTCACAATTTTTGTATGTCGTGACGTCATAAAATTTTGAATAACTCCCACATTTTTAACCGATTCCTCTAAAAATTGCAATGTAGGTGCACATAGACCACTTCTCTGACATATATTCCGGTTTTTTCGATACACTCAAATTTTGGATTTTATAATTATTTTCCCAAAAAAGTCAGTTTTTTGAAAAAAATTGGGCCAAAATCCAAAATTTTCAAAAAACCGTGATAGCCATTTGATAAACAAAGTAGAATCACGTATAACCTTTTTTTACGTCTTGATTCCTTTAAAAATGAAGATGTTAGCGGCGTTTGAAAGTTTGCCGTTTTTGAGGCGAAATTGGCGAACATGACGTCACTAAAACGTCAATTTCTCAAAATTTTCTGACGGATTTCGCTCAAATTTTCAGGGAATGTGTCAAATTGATGTATGATAAGGTACTGGAAGTTTGACGTCGCTGGCGTAACGCGTTTAGAAGTTATTGGCGAAAAACGGGAGGGGGGGGCAGATTCTGCCCCCCAGCGGGGCGCGGGTTAATGGGGGAAACTAGGGTTACCCGCGTGCTCCGCAACGCGAAGAAGGGTTATTTTTGACCCGTGGGTATTGGGTTGGTCTGTGTCGATTTGGCTGGTAGGTATCCATTTCGTTCGGTTGCTTCTTGACGGCCAAGCATTTTGTAATAAAACAAAAAAGATACATCGCATCGAGGTGCCCGTGCAGTATTAGCATGCGTTCTACTTTAGAATGATTCGAAAACTGGCGTGAAGTCTTTTGAGGGCCATCGATAAATTTCGCTAAAAATGACAATATAATGATTTGGAACATTTACATTTTAAGGATACTGTTGCTAATCATGCAAAAATGAAGAGTGAATATTGGACAGAATTGAATGCTCTATCCAATGGTACCATATTCAATTGCCAAAGGTATCAGGTTATGCAGCAAACCCCGTGTGATTAATAAAGTGGCACAAAATTGACAAACACCATTTTCTCCTGTGATTTGCACCACCTTGATTTGGATCAATCAGCTTTTCACAATTTGTATATGAGAGGCGGTACCTTTCTCTTGCAAATAGGCGTTGATTCAAGTCGCTCCATTTAACGGTCACCTAAAGATAAAATTAATTCCAAAATCCCTCAAAAACCACAATTTTTCAAATAAAAGTGCCCTCTCCGGTGCACGTGGCGCGTGCTATCCTCTGCATTGCACACCATTCAATAGCCCGTTCAATTCTGTACACGATGCTGTTTTCCCCGTGCCGGTCGGACCCCTGGTCACCAAGATATTGCACGGGAACTGGACCCGTGTCGGCCAAAATTAGCCGTTTTCGCCCGATTTCGCACGCCGATTTATACATGTAAAGTCTATGACGCGAATTTGCACTTTTTGAGCACGCGCCACGCGCTCCCTATCAATCCGATCGAGCTGAGACCCCTCAAAGGCACGTCGCGCATCCTTGATCTATAAGTTGTGCAAATTTCACCGGGCTAGGTGCAACGGTCTGGCCTGTAGTCCACGCAAAGCACCACCAAGTCGGGACCTCGGTAACGGACAGACGCACCCTCCTCAAATAGTAATATAGATATGGACATTGTTATTTTGGCGCCAGGAATTATCTAGAACTATCTTAGGCACATGAAACCATGATTTCATGCACTTCTTGCAAGGTCTGATGATTCACTTTTGGCATCGTTGACATTGCGTGACGTCATTTATGAGGTCACTAAAGTCATAAAAAATTCGTCAACAACTCTCGATCAATTTAGCCATCGGCCTGGCAGTGGGCAGGGGTCGATGCGATCCTTCCCCCCCCCCTATTTTTTTTTTGCGAATTACGTAGTCGGATCGTGCTGAAATTTTCAAAAGCCTCTGGGGCATCCTTTGCGCAACTTCTGGAAAACAATATTTTCGGGTTATGCCAGGTCACTGAGCTATGACGTCATAATACCTAGATATAACCTCCTACCGTTTTGACAAAATCGTATATTTCGCGTAACTGGACATGATCTCATCAACAAAAACGAAACTTTCCGTGTGATTTATGTCGGATTTTGACAGGACATGAAGCTCTACATTGTATAGGTATTGACCTTTTCAAAGGTCAACCAATGTCAATGACCTCGCATGTTCACACGCTGACCTCCGTGATATGAGCTGTGTTTAGTTGTTTTATTTTTTAGGTCCTGAATCCGAATCTGTGGTTCAATTTTTACCTACACGCCTTCAAAACTGTTCCTTGACCTTCACAAGGTCAACCCAGGTCAATTACGACCGTCGTCACCGGCGGCGGGTGCGACCTCCCGTGTTCCCGGGGACTACGTCACGACAGTAATGACTGGACTGCAGTCAACTATGCATCATTTTGTTGCTAATTTGTTGAGGAACACGGTCGTGAAAGTGTCGTGTCGCTGTCTTTCATAGATTTGCCAATATTGGCTATAAGTAACTTGGAAAACTATGCCTACCTTTTCCCCGGGATTTGACCTTTGACCTGTCATAACTGGGTCAACTATTGACCTAGGGTAAAAAATATACCACCGATTGCGAGTACTCGTTGAAAGCAATCGAGTGGTCTTTGTAGTTTGTTGCGAAGCGCTACGACGCTTAGTTTCGAAACGCCAGGGGTCGCATCGACCCCCCCCCCCCCCCCCGCCGCCAGGCCGCTTATGAAAAATGTCCTGCCAGGGCGAGGGTTAAGCTAGCGAGTCGGGAATGCCAACAATAGACTCGGGAATATCTGCCGAATCGAATGATCGATTCCCTATCCTGTGACCAACTTCATGACCTGAGTGCCTCTGACCTGACTTCGACCTGAGGTCAGACCTTAACCCTCGCCCGTAAACGGCGATCTGCCACCTTCGCCCATGCAGGGGGGGTTGGTGCGACCCCCCTTGGCGTTTGAAAACGGAGCGTCGTAGAGCTTAGCGGAAAAGACCAACGGATTGCCCTCGCCGAGATCTCGCGATTGGTGGTATATTTTTTGGTCCTAGGTCAACATTTGACCTACTTTTGACCGGTCAAAGGTCAAATTTTTCGGAAAAATATACTTTTTCAACTTTCCGCGGCGATTGCGGCAAAACGGTGGGAGATATCGACTTGAAACCTTCACTGTCGTGTTCCTTGATCAATTCTCTATCGTTTGGTATGTATTTCGTTTCCCTAGCTCTAAAAATGGCGCGTTGGGGAGCGCCGGAAGTCGGCAAGGTCACAGTCGGCGGCAGAAATTCGAAAAATCAAAATTTAAATTTTTGAAATCTGATTGTATTTTTGGATTTGGGAGGTCCATTTGCTCCCTATAGAAGCTAATATTGCTGCATATTCCCATCGAGGTGACAAGAATTAGCAAAATAGTGGTTCGGGCGCTTTTCAAAAATAGTACCGGACGCTGTTCCTCTTGTGACGTCATAGCTCCGTGACCTGACCTGACCCGGTCAAGTTTCTTATACCATATGATAGCCAATACTTGCCCCAACATGCATGGGAAGTTTCATCACGATCCATCAACCGATGTCCGTACCACCGGCAGGAAACCTCGGGCGTTGGCACTCAGTTTGTGAAAATCCGGCCGGAGGCTGTTCCCTTTGTGACGTCATAACTCCGTGACCTGACATGACCCGGTCATTTTTTTTTATCAAAAGATGCGCAAGGTTTGCCCCATAAGGTACACAAAATTTGGCGGCGCTGCGCGCCGCCGTTTTTGCACTATTTCCGAAAAACCTCAGGGGGGTTTTTCGTTGCACCAACCCCCCCCCCCTACATGGGCGAGGGTTAAGTTGACCTCGCCCAAACAAAAAGTTTATCATTTGACGCGCCTGAACATGAGGATCACGCCGGTGTCAAAATCGCGGCCCTATAATCATTTTTTGGTGAAGTTATGTCCAAAAACCGAACCCGTACTTATCTACCTTAAGGGCACTTGACCTGACCTGAGAGGTCATTAGTTGACCTGAGACCTTAAAATCGGGTACTAGTTAATTACTGCGTCTCGTAGAACGGCACACACGCTCGTTTTTTTGCGAACCTCTAGCTCAGGAGCGAAATGGCGACGGGGTCGCAGCCGCACCGCCCCGGCCCGCCACCCCCCCCCCCCCCCCCCCCCCACCCCTTCTTCCCCCCTCGACCGGGACGTGTGTACTGTGTAGAAACCAATAGGTCCAGCATGGGTTATACCGTCCACGAAACGACACGCCCAATTGTAAGACCGTCATGAGGCAATATGGCACCATTGACTGGTCGGCATTCACGCGCGCACTGATGATGATACGTCTATTACGAGTTACGACCCAATGAAAGCTTTATTCAATGCAATGAAAATAACGAAAGAAGCTTTATTCGTCGGCCGGACTGTTTAGCAGGGCTGTCATGCATGCAAATTGATGCTATTCCATCGTACAGCCGTATAGGTGTACTTTATCCCACGCCCCACTGGGGAGGGGTGCTATTCATAGCCCCCTTCCCGTTTTTCTGCAATAACTTCGAAACCGCTTCACGTATCAACGTCAAACTTTCAGTACTTTCGGCTGCATCAATTTGACACCTTGTGTCAAAATATGAATTTCACAGCTACCATACGTCGGCCGAAAATGACGTCAGAGTGACGTCATGTTCGGCCGATTTCGACGCAAAACATTTACCTAACCACGGCAATTGCTCCCAAGAGCTCAGTTTTTAACCCGCGCCCCACTGGGGGGGGGGGGGGGCTATTCATAGCCCCCTCCCGTTTTTCCGCAATAACTTCCAAACTGCTTGACGTATCGACGCCAAACTTTCAGAACCTTCGGCTGCATCAATTTGACACCTTGTGTCAAAATTTGAACTTCGTACCTACCATAGGTCGGCCGGAAATGACGTCAGAGTGACGTCATGTTCGGCCGATTTCGACGCAAAACATTGAACCACGGCAATCGCTCCCAAGAGCTCAGTTTTTAAGCTAGATCCAATTTCTTTGCATTAAAGGACTCAGAATTGACTGCGCTATCAAACTGCTGTCTCGGATTTTCAAAATTTTGAAAATTTTGTAAATTTTAATAATAAAATTAGAAATTCATATTTTTATATTTTTTCGAAAAGTTTTTGACTTTTCGAAAAAAAAACCGGAACATTTGTGACAGAACGCATGCTTATGACTTACTCTAGCAAGTTTTAGCTAAATATCTTTAAAAATGGCAAAGTTATACGCATAATTGCAAAAAAAATCACAATTATTAATTTTTCAAATCAATTTTTCAGTACGTATTTGACATCGCACATCAATATAAATAGCACCATCGTGTTCCTGAGCTCAAACTGCATCCAATAGATACCTACCTTTTTTATTGAAAATTTTTTACTTCAAAATTTGACCTTTTTTGACCTGAAAGTGCCCTGACCTAAGCTAAAGTTGACTCAAAATGACCTCGAATGACGCAGACGACATCAAATCAAATTCGAAATCTATGGCCTAAATGGACCATAAAACATGTGTCACGTGACCGACGCATGATGTAATATTTCCGTGACCTGTGATGACCTGACCCTGACCTGAAAATCAAAGTACAAGTTTAGTACCCTCAGGGTATCTAGAGCATCTGTTTACGAGTGTGTAAACTAAAAATGAGCCTGATCTGACTTGTAAGACGGCGGCCAGAGCCCAAAATGTGAACAAGCCAAAATGCTAATAATTTTTACTTTGACCTGACCTGTGACGTCATCGATGACCTCGAGGTCAATGAAATTAGGTTTCGTTCGACAGTTTCTCCGGCGCTATCAGACGCCGTTTGAATTTTGACGATCGGCCCGTTTTGGAGTTAAGAGGGGGGGGGGAGCTATAAAGAGCTCCCCCAGTAGGGCGTGTTATACGCAGACTCCAGTGGGGCGCGGGTTAAGCTAGATCCAATTTCTTTGCATAAGTGGACTCATTACCTATAGCAAAAAAAAATCACAATTAATTTTTTTTCAAATCAATTTTTAGTGCGTATTTGACATCGAACGCCAATATAAATAGCACCCATCGTGTTCCTGAGCTCAAACTGCATCCGATAGGCACCTTTTTTGTCGAAAATTTTAACTTAAAATTGGACCTTTTTTACCTGAAAGTGGCCTGACCTAAGCTAAATTCAACTCAAAATGACTTCGAATGACATAAACGACATCGAATTCGAAATTTATGGCCTAAATGGACCATAAAATATGTGTCACGTGACCGATGCATGATATAAGATTTCCGTGACCTGTGATGACCTGACCCTGACCTGAAAATCAATGTGCAAGCTTGGTACCCTCAGAGTATCTTAAGAATCTGTTCACGAGTGTGTAAACCAAAAATGATTCTAACCTGACTTGTAAGATGGCGGCCAGAGCCCAACATGTGAACAAGCCAAACATCGATAACTCTTACTTTGACCTGATCGGTGACCTCGAGGTCAATAAAATTAGGTTTCGTTCGACAGTTTTTTCCGGGGCTACAGACGCCGTTTGAATTTTTGCGATCGGCCCAGTAGTTTCGGAGTTGGGAGGGGGGACTATTAAGGGGGGCTATGAATAGCTCCCCCCAGTAGGGCACGTTATACGCAGACCCCAGTGGGGCGCGGGTTATATCCTTCGCCCCAGTTGGGGGGGGGGGGCATATGTTACCACCCTGTCGCGTTTTTCGCGTGTAAATAAAAAACCGCGGCACGTAGCGCCGCGCCGCTTGGGGTAGCTTTTTGTACATTAATTTTGGACAATATGTGAAATTTTTGACCCCAGGTCATGTCAGGTCAGGTCACCAGGTCAAGTTAACTGATCGAGCCTAAAAAAGTTTGCAATCATGTCCAGCCTGCAGCGTTTGTCAGAAAGGTTTCAAACTTGGTGGATTGCATGATGTTATGGGCGCCTACAATTTGTATATCTCGGATTTTTTTTTCATATCGGTGACCTAAGGTCAGGTGAGTGGCGTGACCTTACCATTATAAGGCATTGGAGAAAAATGAAAATGTCTTTAGATCCGTGTGTACGCATAGGAACAGTCCAAATATTTCAGAATCACAATGATTTAGACCACCCGTGACGACCAAGGTGTGTTTTTTGCTGAGAGCCTCTACCTCTAGAAAGGTCATCCGAGGTCATTTGAGGCTACAAACAGATTTTTGCCAATAACTCTCGATTGGAAAGAGATAGGACGCTGGGGATGGCCTCATTGTGTTTGTCTTGTTAAGACGCATCGAATGGTATGCAACATGACCTTTTCCGGTCAGGTCATGACCTTGACCTGAGGTCAAATTTTCAAGTTGACCTTTCAAGGGCATCTTATAGTTCATTCGACGCGTCTCGTCGAGAGGAACACGATACTGGCAATAGAATTGTTGTGGCCTTTTTAAGTCAAAAGTTAGTGTCGAAAAACACATTTCGTAAAAACAGCTATTTTTTTAGTTTTTGCCCTCTGGAGGCTAAACCGTTGACCTGAGGTCATTTTTGATAATGACCTTATCAAAAGAATAGTTCAAAAGCTATCGATTGCTTTTCGCAGCGTTTTTCTAGCTATCATAGTTCCTGAGATAATGGCATGTTTTCTGAAAAATATAATGACAATTCGCCAGTTAATAATGACAGTTTTTACATGGAAGTCTCGAAAAGTGAATTGACAGGCGACAGCATGCATTCACTGTTTTACGTTTTGTGACGAAATAAAAAATGGGTAGGTACTAGGTACCCAACAAGAAGGATAAAAAATCGCGCCGAATCGTCTGTGGCATGAAGCAGGCATGGCTCCACCACAGGGTGGCTGCAGGGGCTCGGATCTCCCCAATAATTTCGCTTCCGTAATGCCACCCAACGTATAAAATCAAAAGTGACGGATTTTGGAAGTCGGACCCCCTATCCTAAGAATGTGGCGAAGGCCCTGACACTTGACAGGGTCAGGTAGGTTCCTACTATGTGTTGTGGGGAATTTATGAGTTTGGCTGTCGCCTCACCGGGTGGCTGTGGAGCTGGCGCCGGATCCTGGCCGGCCACCGTCGTCACCAGCAGGACCAACAGCAGCGCCATGACGCGGACCGACGTCCGAGCAGTACCACAGCGGACCGTGAACCGTCCGACAGCCGACGTCTGACCCGTCCAGCGGCCGTCCGACGTCTGAACTCTCCCACCCCGGGCCGACGTCTGAGTCGTCCGACGGTGCGGGCCGACGCATGGAGCCGTGGTGCGCCGGCGGGACACCGACGTCCGACGACTGAGCTACAACGGTGGCGGACTAGCCTGACCTATCCAAGCGGCAGTAGACTTGTGAGACTTTAAATTCCTATTACCAGGTGTCCCAAAATTAATGTCACACATTTCCAACGTCCATTGCATGAAAATAACAAATATGAGAGGTGAGCTTTTCTTACATATAAATCCCACCTTTTTCCTGATACAGGAAAGCATACGGTCCGGGACGTCAGAGATTAACATGTCCAGCTCTTGAGGAGTGATTTTGGACCAGGCAGATCAAAGGCTCCTGGTCAGCGTGCCTTCAGATTATCCTGGCTGATGGCTCCATTTTGTTCACCTCTTTACCGGACGGTCGCCCTAAGATTTTCTATCGGCGACAGGTCGGGGCTATTCCCCGGCCATTTGTCCTTCTCCCCAGGCGCGTAACCACGAGTCTGAAGTTACTGGGGACCACATGGAGGGCCACGAATATTTTTTTCCGGATCAGCCTTCGCCCGAGTGTGTGTGTGGGGGGGGGGAGGGGAGGCGTTTTTGGCCACACCTGCCAGTTATTTGTTGCGCGTGTAAGGAAAACCGCGGCGCATACCGATGCGAAACTTGGTATGGCTTATGATACCTCAATTTCGCATCGTGTTTGAAAATTTTGACCCTAAGTCACCTAAGGTCAGGTTACCAGGTCAGTAAAGTAACCATGCCTCTCAAAAACTTTGTGACTCTGTCCTTCCTACAGTTTAAATCCAGAAGTTTGAAACTCGAGCTTTTGCATGAGGATATCAGTATGAACAATTCGTATATCTCAAAGTTTTCACATCGGTGACCTAATGTCAGGTCAATTTTACGACCTCTCCATTATAAGTCATTGGGAGAAAATTGTACTGCTCTTCTTTTGGCCGAAAACACATTCAAACACCGTGACACAGGTAAACATGACACACTGAACCGGAAAATTGCACCTGTGACACCTCTATGCCCCTCAGCTCATCTCACGTCATGAAACCAAGATGACTTTACTACCTACTCCATGAAACATCTCCAACAGTCTTTACTGTTTTTGCCACAACTTTAGATAGAAACATGCTAGAGCGCTGCAAACGCCATGAACGTGTTCAGCTCAACATATACCAATCAAATGACTTGCAACATGACCTTTTCCGTGACCTGGACCAGGGGTCAAATTTTCAAGTTGACCTTTTCAGGTCAACTTATAGTTCATTCGATGCGTCTCGACGAGACAAACGCGATGCCGGTAAAATCAGCGTCATATAAGTTTGGAGTCCCAAAGTTATGATAGTTGATACAAAAACCTTTTCCGCAAAAACGCCAGCCTGGAAGCTAAACCGTTGACCTTAGGTCATATCTGAGAACATAACTCAGAAAGGCCTTTGAAAAAGCTATCGAATGCGCTTTCCCGCAGCACTGCAGCTCTATTGGTTTCTGACTTATGAGCCGATTTGTGAAAAGTTATCAAAATTGGGAACAAAAGTTCGTGAAAATTTTACATTTGGTGACCTCCAGTGACCTTAGCGATGACCTGATCAAAAATGGCATAGGTAATTCTGAAAGGCACTGTAGCGAGCTATCTGCTGCATTTTACCCCGTCTTTCTAGCTTGCTTACTTTCCGAGATAATATGGTGTGGCAAAAAGCCCCCCCCCCCCACCACCACCATCATCATGAAGTTGGCTGAGAGGCCCACCCGGGCGCTGGCTAAACAAAACATCCATAGTTTTGTCTTCCGTTGAGTCGTTGACTACATATTACTCTTCACGTCGATTTAGAGACAATATTTCGCTATTTAACCCTCGCCCGCACATGCACGGGTGGAGAATTGTGCTGGACTGGGGGTGCTCGAGCTCTCCCAATTCCACGCCGGCCACGCCGGCTTGGCTTTGGAGCCGCGGCCGGGCGGCGCGGGTCAAGGTCACCGCTAGGCGGCGTCGGATTTGCTGCGCCCGAGCACCCCCAGCTGGTCACAATTCTCCACCTATGCGCACATGGGGGGGGGGTTGCCACCCCCCCTGATTTTTCGTATAGCCGCTCCTCTATCCTTTCTTGATGTCCACTGAAAATTTCAAGTTTCTATGATTTTTGGTTTCGGAGATATGACCTTGTTTTTCAGGTCATGTCATGACCCAAATGGCTAATTCTCAACATCTTGCGTTTGCCATGGGCCTTGTGAGCTTTTGACACCTTGATTTCGGCCTTTTTTGCCAGTCTTGCCTCCCACCTATCATGGAACATGTTGTTCGACGATGTACAGGTGTCAAGGTCAGGGTCAAGGTCAACCTAGGTCATCTAAGATAATTGCGTTTTAGGCAAGCTGAATTTACTTTTTGTGAAGTTTTTGACTGCATTTTTGGTAAAAGCTTCTCAGATCATGATTTCATGTAATATGGACATGAAATGAAGTGTGACAAAGAGGTTCTAGCTGGCTTGGCACCAGAAAACAGCATCGTCATCGGTATATGATAAGCAGCGCACTTGATATCCAACGGTGACCCGAAACAGCAACATTTTTTAGTTTGACCTGACCTGGAAGGTCAATGACTGACCTGAGAAGATAAAACTGGGTATCATTGGATTCGTCTCTTCCCAAAGAATCTTTTTGGTCTTTACCGCTAAGCTCTATCTCCAACAGGAACGAAATGGCGCGGGGGTGGCAACCCCCCCCCCCCCCCATGTGCGTTCTAGGATGGGAAAATGGCATGTGCGGGCGAGGGTTAAGCAAATTGAGGAAGTCGTCGGTTTTACTGGGGACGGTCCCCAGTAACCCAAAAGCCACTGGGGACCGGTCCCCAGTGTCCCCAGTGGTGGTTACGCGCCTGCTTCTCCCACGGAATGCTGGAAAGTACGATCTGCACCAGTCCTGCGGCTGCGTTCTTCAAGCTCGATGAGCCGGGGCGCCGATCTGTTGAAACATTTTTTCTTTATAAATTTAGCCCGAACTTTTTGATAGGAACGATTCACAAGGACAGAGTCACCGCTAAGCGAAGCTTGTTGCGGTGACCCTGCCCTCTACTACCCTCCGATTGCGCAATTCCAGTTCCACGGCATAATTTAGAGTCCAAAATTTAACGTGCGCACTGCGCGCATAGCCGCGCACGGCTGGTCCCCTCACTGACTTCGTCTGGCTACGGCCTGCCACCAACCGCAGCCATACCTGTCAGGAGCCCCATAAATGTCGAGCGCCCGTCGCGCTTCGAACCCGGTCTGTTATAACCGGGAACGCGTGCTCTCACCACGCGGAGTCCAACGCTCTACCAAATGAGCTACGGGACCGGCAGGCAAGATGGCCCTGGACATTTTCAGCTGAAGTTTTCGGCTGGAGACGTGGCTTGGTTTGCTCCAGCTTTAGAGACAACCTCAGGTACCGATGGATTGTCGACTTGGAGACTTGATATGACTGCTGGCAATCAGCTTACCAGTTTTCTTGTGGATTGACCCGTCTTTAGCACCGCGCTTCGCGATGACGATTTGGGCTACCCGGCTGGCGGAAGCCTTCCTGCCGTGATCCTCCTTCGTTCCTTCCTTCCTCGTTCGTTCTTCTTCCTTCGTGTTCTCAGGCCTCTATCCGCTTCTGTTGCGTGACAACCAGCGCTAAATTGTGCGGCAACTCATGCCTGTGCCTCGGCGACCTAGCCGTGGGTCATGCCGCCGGCAACCATGCCGACTGCCCCGCCCCGCTGTGGGTCGATTTGCTCCGCGGCTTTGCCATCCTGGACACCTGGTAGTGGTTCGCGCGAGCCGGGTACCTACTGCCCCAGAAATGACCCCCATACACTCCTTGACCGGTCAGGGTCACAAAAATTTGACGGTCACGTGACTAGAATGTAACTAATATGGCATGGGAGCCAGACCGGCGAAAATATATTGATATTGCGCCGTAAAAGGCAAAATATAAGTTGTGGAAGTGTTATGAATGACATTAATTTTGGGACACCCTGTATAGATAGACCGTACTAAATATAAGCACCATTTTCTTCTTTGACCCCTTGGTTTATTCCTCAATCGGTTGAATGTAAAATGGATGACAGAGCTAAAAATGTCGCCAAAGCAAGGCAAAGGTGGGTCGAATTGGCCTGCTAAGGTACAATGTTTTTCGTTTTTGCGTAGGTACGGTTCTCCAGTAAAAGTCTTGTTGGTTTTGCTTTTTTGGATATATTTGGTCCTATATAATGTTCAAATGCATAAGTATGAACCCGAATTGTGTGTACTCGTATGCACATTTACCACTAGACTGTAAAATTGCATCCTTGTATGCCAAATACTTTCCGAGATATTCACCAAAAACCTCATTTTCTGCCGTTTGGGGTATTCTGGCCGCAATCTGCCTGGGATCGCCTATGACATAAGTACCTAGAGCCATCTAACGAGAGGAACGCGGAAACACAGAATCATGAATGAATCGAGCGCGTAGTAAACGGTGTATGAAAGGGAGACTCAGCAGAGGCTATCCGGGTGGCCGGCGGGCGGCGCGCCCTTAGGCATCGGCTGACCCTTCGGACCGCGTGGAGTCAGAGGTCGCGCTCGGGAAGTCTCGGCTCTGGGTTATAGCGCTGTGCAGTCATGAAGGGAGGATAGGATAGCGCTAGCCCGGCTGACTACTGTTAACGCCAGACCCCTTGAGACCCTAATTTTTCGCGATTACTTTTAAATGCGTGAAGGAATTTCAACCAAGCTCAGGACATGGCCGTTTCAAGACAGGCCGAAACTTTTACAATTTAGATATTTTATCGCCATTTCAATATTTCAGGCACTTGTCATTGACTCGTAATGTTAACTGTTTTTCCATCCTGGATAGAGGCTTTCTACGTCATATGACATTAGGCTCCGCCCACGACTGCGGCATTGACCCGTGCCCATCAGCGACCTCTGTACAAACGACACCCCTGCCATCTGTGAAGGACTATGAATTTCGCTGACGCTTCACGTGCT